GACAGAATCCAGACTCCTGGTCACATCCCATATTGCAACCCAAGACAGTGTGGTGACAAGGGGACGCTTGGAATTCCTTAAGTCTGATATTTTAGTGTAGTCCTGCTATTCTGTCAGGCCTGGAGATCAAATATCCTGAAGGCCTCATAGTGTGAGGCTGGAACACCCTGAGCTGTTTATGTCCTCTCTAGGAGACATCCTGTAAATTTGGGATTTGGCCCATCCAGGGGGAATTCCTTGGGACAGGGACAGGAGCAGAGGGAACGGCCTCAGGCTGGGCCAGGGGAGGCTCAGGGTGGACATCAGCAGGAATTTCCCCATGGAAAGGGTGCTCAGGAATTGGAAGTGCCCAGGGAGGTTTGGAGTGCCCATCCCTGGAGGTGTCCCAGCAATTCCTGGATGTGACACTGAGTGCTCTGGGCTGGGGACAAGGTGGGGATTTGGCACAGGGTGAACTCCATGATCCCAGAGCTCTTTTCCAATTTCAGTGATTCCAGAATTTTTTCTGCTCTGCCAGCTGTGGCAGGAGCAAAGCTGCCAGCATCAGGAGGATGTTTGTTGTGTAATTCCTTTTCTGCCTTGGCACAGATTTGCACAGACAAACGTGATGTTTGACCCATTGATGTGCATGTGAATTCAGAACAAACACCTAATCCATTAATGTCTGCAGATCTGATTTCCCTCAGACCTCTGGAACACTCATCCATTCCAAATCTCTGAGATTGATGAATGCTTTGAGGATCAGATCAGTGACCCCCCTCCACCTGCCCTTGCCCTTGCACGGGAGGGAATTGCTAATTCACCTGCAGGGTGGCACAAATTCAATCATTAATAAAGGAAGAGATGGAGAATAACAAAGTCACAGCAGCCCTTGGCTTTCATCAGCTGGGACAGAATTCCAGGGGACTCTGAGGGGTGCAGAGGTAAAAACCTGAGGGGCTGAGGATGGAGATCCCAGCCCAGTACTGAGACCAAACACCAGGACAGCTCCACTCTGTCATCCAGGCTCTGGAAAGCCAAACTAAACTGGGTTTAGAGTTGGGTTTAGTTGACATTGAGCTGGGGATATTTTCAGGATTTAGGGAGTGGATTTCTATAAATGCACTGTTTGCTCTCTGCTGGTTGATTTCATGTCATTGTGATAATTTAAAAATGAGTGGTATTGCCTTTCTATCCCTGAAAAATAATGATACAGGAGCTTTGAGCCCAGTTCCAGTAATGGTGGAGAACAAGGCTGGTTTTTTTGCTGACTGAACACTGTGACTTCATTCCATGTGGTTTTTAAAGTCCAGTTAATTTTGGCATGCATGTGTTCTTCCTGTGAGTTTTGGAGTGCAGCATTGTCTCACTTCTAACACAGCAGTGCATTGTATTTAATTGTGAACATTCTAATTAATTAAAAACAATGAGCTTTGTACAGTTCACTTATTGTGCAGAACAAAGCACAGGAAGAGAATTTTTGGTTTCACTGATACACTTTTGGAGCAGGAGAACCATTGAGTGTTATACACTAAACATGAGGAAATTTCTTTTATAGTGGTTTATTTTATAGTGGTTTATTTTATAATGGTTTATTTTATAGTGGTTTATTTTATAATGGTTTATTTGGTAGTGATTTATTTTATAGTGATTTATTTTATAATGGTTGCATGGGGTGGATGTGAGGGCCCAATGTAACTTTCCCCTTCAGTTTTCACACATTGCACTTGCACCTTCAGGGTGGTAAGAGA